CCCAAGAGAAAAAAGATATTGGAGAGGAGTAAATTGTAGAAAGAAAATATCAAAACATTTTAGACCATCGAGAGCAGGTGAACAAATTCTCATTTCTAACTGACTTATAAGAGTGGAAATTCTGAAATCTACATGCCTACCAAGGGAGGCACCATGAGTTGTGCACCAAGACTCCCTATAGCACCCAGAAGAACTCAGGGGTGGAGTTCCAAGGAGCAGTGTGAAATTCATTACAGAGACGAGGACCTTCAGTCAAGACGCTTCATAAGGAGCAGTTGGACACTCAGGTGCCCAGCCCCAGACAACATATCCTGGTGATTGTGCATCATGTGGTGGCCAGGAGACCCAAAGCTCCCTTCGAGGAAAGACTATTGTCCCTCTCTTTAGAAGAGATGTTAGTGGACTGTTTCAGTCAGTTCTTTGAAGGTTTACCTCAGCTTCAGAGAGTCGCGTTGCCCAAAGTGTGCCTTTCCAGGGAAACCCGCATTCAATGTGGCAGCAATGGTCTAAGGCCTTTATGAAAATTAACTCAAGGAGTACTTACACTTGGTTCAGTGGGAGTTTTTTCTTGTGTGTGAGTGTGTTGTGTGTGTGTATAAACTGGAGAGAGTATTACAACAAACTTTCTGGATAATTCTGTGTGATGTTATGTACAGAAGATCAAAAGGTATTGATTTATTGGTCAACATGTGTAGACAATTATTATTTTATGGACAGCAGACACATTGATAATAAGCTGGTACCAATTTATAACCCACCATCAATGCACGTGAGGGCACTTCTGACATCTCTAACAGTAACTACAGAAATATCTGTCTCTATGTATGAGGGGGTGGTGGTTCTGGGAAAGTAAAGCTCAATTCTTACTGGCTGAGGATTAAACAGGGAGAGAAATTCCCGGACACCTGAGCAGTCTGGTGTTGAGGCCCTGGGTACATATCCCTGCTCTATGCTTCCTGGTTGCTCTTCCACAAGAGTTGCTATTGGATACTTCCCCCTCTGAGTTCATCCTGAAAGCAGAGTTAGCAATGGGGCAGATGAGACTGAAGAGCCCAGGGTGGAAAACTAAAGACTGACCTGAGAAATGAGGTTCCCCAAAGTCGTAGGTTCCTTGGCTTTGCCTTTTTCTGGGAGGGGGCAGTTATTGGGCAGTGGTAGACAGGGCCTTCCCTCTGATAGACCCCTGATAACTCATCACAGATATGAAGGGCCCTGGACCTGGTCGCCAAGGGCTGCTTTGGGTCTGTCCCTGAGGGGTCAGGGAGACATTACAGCTGTGAACCTGCCCAAAGGCTCCTTGTCTCTTCTCAGTGGTCATCAGAGCTTTTCAGCTGTGTCCTTATTGGATCTCTGGTGAGGATCGGGCCACACCACCCACAGCTCTCTCATCCCTGAACATAGCCAGACTCAGAGAACAATGTAAGGTGTCCCAGCAGGCAGTAGGGTATATTTGCATGAATTTATACCCACCCCAAGGAGTTTGTACAGAGATTAAGAGGGCAGCTCAATCAGCTGTGGGGCTGCAGAAAGCAGGGCTCTTGGGCTTCTCCACCGTGACCTGGGGCCCTATCCCGACATCCTCTTCACTCATTGCATAGGAGACTGGATGCCCTAAGACAGGAGAAGGAGTTCTGCAATTCTACTCTTCTCCTCCTGGATTTTAAGGATCTGGGACCCAACCTCACCTTTTCTGTATCTTTCCCACTTCCCGGATCCTGGGCCAGTCTGTACTGAGTTGACCACCCTCCGTGTCTGGGGATCTGAGCCAGTGGATCACCATCTCCTACATTGGAAGCAGGACCAGTATCAGGGCTGCCAACCATGTTCCAATAGTTCCCAAGCAGCTACCCCAAACTACTAGAATAAGCTGATGTGTAGTAGAGCCTTTGGAGTCTCCAATTATCTGTCTCATGGTCCAGTAGCTCCACTTTTCTAACCATCACTGGGTTCCACGCTGATGACGAGGCTCATTTTCACGGCCAGTCACAAAATGACAGCCTTGAAGCTGACACAGTGCTCCAGGACTATGAGGAACAGAGACATGGACCTTTTTATGTAACTCCAGTCACCCAGCATCTGCAAGCTTAGGCACAGACTGGATATCTGCTGTATTTTTTGCTGTCATCCCCAAGGGGAGAGACATGGGGATTATAGCCTCCTGTCTCCCCTCCCAACATCAAACAAGTGACTCACAGTAGGATACTTCTAGTCCAGTTGTATTGAAGAACAGAAAACCTCCTCATGTTTAAGCTGTTTAAGATTCAGAATCTCTTTAACACAAAATGCAATTACTGAGAGGAACAGAAATCCGTTGTATTCAGGTCATATGGGAGAATTCTAGGAAAGCTCTAATGGTCTCTTTCTTCCATCTACAGCCATTTCCTGTATCAGGTGCACTTCAAATGAGACCTCCAATATGACTCCACTTTCATCTCACTCATAACTATTCCTATTCAGCCCAACTCCCACATCTCTGAATCTATTAAGTATCTAAGAAGGGAAGTGATGCATTCAGGGTTTTGTTTTCGTCTCCATGTCAACAGTCTCTCCCCAAGTAACATCTTACGCACCAGGCTCAAGATCTTCCCCTCTCAGTGCCCTCATGTCTCACACACGACTTTCACATTTCACAGTCAGAAGGAGCAGTTACCATGTGGGATTTGAAGGCTGCCTTTTTTGGTACCCTCTTGCCGACTCTGTGCTGTAAAGATGGTTCTGTATCAAAGCGCTCGTTTGTGTGAGGAGAAGGTAGGAAACAGCTGTACATGGGGTAGAAGATAATGAGACCTGTATAAGCTAGGCTGATTGCAGGTTTGCCCATGGGGCATTCATGGAAGAAATTCCTCTGAATTTAGAGTCTCCCATAGGCCAGCAGTTGTTAAGAGCTTGGCTGCTAACCAAGAGGTCAGCAGTTCAAATCCACTAGCCACTCCTTGGAAAACTTATGGGCATTTCTACTCTGTTCTATACGGTCGCTAGGAGTTGGAATCAACTTGGCAACAACAGGTTTTGTTTTTGTTTTTGTTTTATGGGTCAGCATGGCCTCTTGCTTTTATCAAGGCGCATTGAGTTGTATGGATGTCATTGAAAAGTAGATGAAGGTTTGTTTCTCATGCATGGGGTTTTGTCAAGTAAGTGCACTGAAGCCACAAAGAAGCGAGAAACAGGAGGGATCTTGCAAAGGAGTGATTGTAATGATGGAAAAGAACGGGCTTGAGGATAAGAGTAGGGTGCAGGGGTGAATATTTCGTCTCATGTCATGATGAGGCCCACGTGTTACTTCATTCCCAACCTCTTCATGATACCTGCAGTTGAAGGCAACTCAACCAGACTGTGGACACTGTGCCCTCTTGCTCCCTCCATCACCCATCCTGGAGCTGACTCCCAGAATGAGAAAGTCTGCAAATATCACACACACACACAAAAATTCATCTTTAGTATGTCAATTCTCTCTGCAACATTTGTTTGGCAGCAGATAAAAGTGTCTCAGTTTCTCCTAATCCTATAGCCACCTTACCAGTTACCTTACCCAGAGCAGATATACTTAACAATAATAGAATGTAATAATATAATAAAATGTATTGGGTGAGTGATTAAACAAATAAGTGGGTATATAAAGAAGAGAAAACCTTAACCAGTGAAATATGTTTTCAGGACTCTTTTTACCCATTTTGTAAATGGGGGGTGTTGCCCAGGGTTCTCTCACAAGTTTTGTCTCTTCTGAATATCCACATCACTTCATTAATGACTGCACGTAGCACAAAGCTACACCTTTAACACAATGGTAATATCTATTACCTGACAAGGTCAGAGCCAACCGCTTCTGAACATGGTAATCAGGATTTTGAAATGCATCCCAGATATTCAACTACTTTATAAATACAGAAGCAACCTATTTACCTTATTCTCTACTGCACTAGACAGCAACACCATCCACCTGGTTGTCCATACTAGATACTTCCGGTTTATAATATGCTCTCCCTCCCTCTTTTCTCTCCCAAGAGGTCCACTCCTCCACTATCCTCAAGGTTCTACAGTTGAACATCACTCCAATGCATCTCCTCTTCCTGTATTTCCTTCTAACTCTTGCTTTCAAGACAACATTCTTTCCTAAGTGTTGCACTGCTCACTCTAGCTCTTCCTATCTCCCGTCTGCAATGTCTATCTATGGTTTTTCCAGTCTGTAAAACTGTCACATTTCTTCTTGGATTGAACACTGTCACACTGATTTTCTTTCAATTTTCTATTTCTTCACCTGGAGAACCACATCTCTAATCATTCTTCCAGATGTAAATTGAAGGAAACCTCCTCAGAGAAGCTCACTAAGTAACCCACATACCTGGTTTTTCATGTTTTGCAGAGCTTCTCATATTCATGGGATTGTCCGTCTCTTGAAATATTCCCCTCTATTTCACAAGCCTCTCTAAACCACAGACAGAGCAGACAGAGTGTTTTAATTCAACAAATTGGAGCTGAGCACAGTGCTTCAAACAGGCATCCCAGTCATTGTTGATTGAATGATAGTGACAAAGTTCGGGGGCAGAAAGCTAAGGACCTCTGAAGACATTGAAGATAAACAGGTGACCAGCAGGGATCACTGTGAAGCTGTACCTGGGCCCTCAAAATGGGGAATCTCTCGGCTGGGTGAGCACCACTGGGGGCAGAGGCTGAGCTCCCTCTGCTATCACTGACAAGACTCAGCAGCAGTGCTCTCTCCAGCCTGGCAAAGCCTCCTGAGCAGGGTCCCAGATGTGCTCCCAACAGCTGCTCCCACCATGACCCTCTTGGAGGCCACACAGACGGCATTCCCCTCCTTAGACCTATGTCCTCAGGGTCCTTTCTCAGGGTCCTGCATCAGTGGTCGGGTGGGGTTTGAAAGAGCCAGAAGAGGGGAAAAATTGCATAAACAGCCCCTCTTTCTCCCTGTGGCAGTAGGAGAGATAAGACAAGCCTAGGGCAGCCCAGCCACACTGTGGGACCTCAGCAGGACTGTGTCCACCATGGCCTGGACCCCTCGCCTCCTTGTGCTCCTCACTCACTGCACAGGTAGGGACAGAACTCATAGACCCGGGGAAACCCCCTAGCCTGAGTCAGCTCCTCTGGCATAGATCGTCAAGCAGCTTCACCATGGCCCAAGCCCCATCAGTCATGTGTGTCTGTATTTGCAAGTTTCCTCTCCCAGCCTCTGCTGACTCAGCCACCCTCCCTCTCTGCATCCCTGGGATCATCTGTGAGACTCACCTGCACCCTGAGCAGTGACATCAGTGTCGGAGGAAAAAACATGTGCTAATACCAGCAGAAGCCAGAGAGCCCTCCCAGGTACCTACTATACTACTCCTCGAGTACAAATTTTGGATCTGGGGTCTCCAGCTGCTTCTCTGGATCCAAAGATGCCTCGGCTAATGAAAGCGCTTTCTCATCTCTGGACTGCAGCTTGAGGACAAGGCCAATTATTACTGTATGACTGGGTACAACAGTATTTCTCACAGTGACACAGGCAGATGGGGAAGTGGGACAGAACCCCAAACTGCTCAGGGTCTCTGATGCTGACACTTTTCTATTATTGAAATAACTTTCATGTACACTGACTATACCTGGAGATAACTTCTTGGTCATAATGTCTCTCCTCCCAATTTCCCGTTCAATGTTTCTGAAGATCCAGTAAAACAAAAAATAAAAACAAATAAATAAACAAAATGAAAAAAAACCCCACAATAGTAGTGGAGCTACACCCTGGGGCCCATATGCGATATAAACCAGAGCCCATAAGCTGTCCTTCTTCTCTTGAAAGGAATCATGCCTGTAGGTCCCAGTTTCCTTCTAGTTCAGAGGCCCAGGGACGATGATCTCAGCAGACGGACGGTCTCTCTATGGCATAGACTCTGCTCTTGAAGGTCAGAGCATGGACGTTCTTGCCTCACCATCCCCCAGTCACCTGTGATCAGTGTTAGCTGAGGCTCATGGTGTCCAGGGGTGAGGCACCAAGGTGTAAAATATGTGATGACACAAGTCTAGGAGGAATTCCAGGCACAGGGCTGGCCTGGCACACTAGATGGGCCCCTTTACCCTCAGATGTGATTTCAGGGAGCAGAGGATTAGTCATGGAGAAATTTGGGCCCTGAGGCCAGAACAGCTGTTTGTGGGGTTTGATAGGGTGAATATGATGCTCTACCATTGCTGGAAGAGTGCTGAGCCAACTTCAGGGGAAGTGGGTGAACTAGGTTCCATGAATGTGACTTTCCTACAACTGATCCCACTCAGAACCCATGGAAATTTGTCTGGGTGGGTTTCCATGTGCCTACACAAATGGATTTGGATCCTTCTCTTCACTTGTACCTCATTTGAGCTTTTCAACAAGACACGGTATAGAGGTGGGGCTGTGGAACTTCAGGGAGCAGAAGCTCCCCAATATTTGTCTGGGTAACCTCACCCTGAGAAGTTCTTGAGAGGTCACAGATACCAATAACACCATCTCCTGCCTGGAATAGAAGGGAGACATTGGGAGTTAACATAGCAATTATATCAAGGGTCCAGGCAGAGCCCTTAAGTTTGTGACCTAGGACATTAGTGATCAATCTCAGAGGTTTAGTCTAATTCTCCTTTTTGGGGGTTAGCAACATGGCCTTCTGGTTTGCCTCTGGACTGCAGCCTGAGGATGAGGCTGATTATTATTGTCAAAAGCTGAACAGAAACCCAATGCCGTGCAGAGCTCCAGTCCTATGAAGGAATGAGATAAGGATCTGCCCTTTACTCCCTCTCTTGTTCAGGCCAGTAACAAACACCAGCTCAGGTTTTAGCATCAACTGGTCCTTGTACTACTAAAACCAGAGGGCCTGGATGCTCTCAACTCAGTCTAACTTTGCAAAGTCAGTGGAAAATAAACCTTTCCTTACTGTTTGTCAGTGCAGACAGAATCACTTTGTCTCTAGAAGCAAATATATCCCAATGCACGCTGGATGAAGATGACAAGAAGACATAAGTCTAGTATGTGTGACCTAGGATACCCAGGTTCCTCTCTTTCTGGCATCCTTGGTGTCCCTGAACCTTGCCCAGGTGTTGATGATCATTCCCTGAGCTCAGAATCCTCAGGAAAGCCCAGCGTCTCTCTTTTTTCTGAGATTATGTCCTCGTTGAGCTCCTGAATTCCCAGGTACAGGACAACCCCACCTATTCAAGACCTGCCTTCAGACCCATCGCCTACTCATTTTTCTCCTTTAGTCCCATGATTCTTAATTCTTTCTACTCTGTGATTATGTGTCAGTTATTTGGACACCTAAAGACTACCAACCCAAAGCCCATTATCACAGAGAACCTTAATATTATAGGAACATTTCCAGAAATTACTATTCTTAGTTCAATGTCAGTCCATGGAATATTTAACAAATAATCTTGATTATAACCCAATGTGACTGGAACAGCAGACTATGGAAGCTATTCAGGAGTGGAAGAAAAATATCTACAAAAGGGAGAAGGTTTGTACATACTAGTGCGTCTTTTTATATTAATCTTAGTAACAATGTTGTTGTTTTTAGGTATCATTGAGTCAGTTCTGACTTATAGTAACCCTATGTACAACAGAACGAAACACTGCCCGGTCCTGGGCCATCCTCACAACCATTGTTATGCTTGAGCCTATTGTAGCAGCCACTGTGTCAATCCATCTCATTGAGGGTCTTCCTCTTTTTCACTGACCCTCTACTTTACCAAGCATGATGTCCTTCTCCAGGGAACGATCTTTCCTTATAACATGTCAAAAGTATGTGAGACATAGGCTCTCCATCTTTGCTTCTAAGGAGCGCTCTGGTCCTACTTGTTCTAAGACAGATTTGTTCATTCTTTTGGCAGTCCATGATATATTCAATATTCTTCTCCAACACCACAATTCAAAGGCATCAATTCTTCTTCAGTCTTCTTTATTCATTGTTCAGCTTTCCCATGCGTATGAGGCGATTGAAAATACCATGGCTTGGGTCAGTCGCACGTTAGTCTTCAAGGTGACATCTTTGCCTTTCAACACTTTAAAGAGGTCTTTTGCAGCAGATTTGCCCAATGTAATGGTTGTTTGATTTCTTGACTGCTGTTTCCATGGGTGTTGATTGTGGATCCGAGGAAAATGAAATCCTTGACAACTTCAATCTTTTCTCTGTTTATCGTGATGTGAGGATTTTTGTTTTCTTTATGTTGAGGTGTAAATCATATTGAAAGCTGTGGTCTTTGATCTTCATCAGTAAGTGCTTCAAGTCCTCTTCACTTTCAGCAAGCTAGGTTGTGCCATCTGCATAATGCAGGTTGTTAATGAGTCTTCCTCCAATTCTGATACCCCGTTCTTCTTCACATAGTCCAGCTTCTTGGATTATTTGCTCAGCATACAGATTGAATAGATATGGTGAAAGGATACAACTCAGATATACACATTTCCTGACTTTAAACCACGAAGTATCCCCTTGTTCTGTTGGATCTATGTACAGGTTCCTCATGAGCATAATTAAGTGTTCTGGAATTCCCATTCTTCGCAATGTTATCCATCATTTGTTATGCTCCACACAGTTAAATTCCTTTGTATAGTTAATAAAACACAGGTAAACATCTTTCTCATATTCTCTGCTTTCATCTAGGATCCAGCTGACATCAGCAATTATATATCTGGTTCCAAGTTCTATTCTGGATCTGGCTTGAATTTCTGGTAGTTCCCTGTTGATATACTGCTGCAGCCACTTTAAAATGATCTTTAGCAAAATTTTACTTGTGTGTGATATTAATGATATTATTCAATAATCCCTGCATTTAGTTGGATCACCTTTCTTGGGAATAGGCATAAATATGGATCTCTTCCAGTCAGTTGGCCAGGTACCTGTCTTCCAAGTTTCTTGGCATAAATGAGTAAGCACCTCCAGTGATGCATCTATTTGTTGAAACATCTCAATTGGTATTCCATCAATTCCTGGAGCCTTGTTTTTCTCCATTGTCTTCAGTACACCTTGAACCTCTTCCTTCAGTACCATGGGTCCCTGATCATACGCTACCTCCTGAAATGGTTGAACATCGACCAATTCTTTTTGGTATAGTCACTCTGTGTACTCCTTAGATCTTCTTTTGATGATTCCTGAGGTTTTTTTTTTTTTTTAATATTTTCACCATAGAATCCCTCAATATTGCAACTCGAGGCTTGAATTTTTTTCTTCAGTTCTTTAAGCTTTAGAAATGCCAAGGGTGTTCTTCCCTTTTGGTTTTCTATCTCCAGGTCTTTGCACATGTGATTATAATACTTTACTTTGTCTTCTCTAACCACCCGTTAAAACATCCTGTTCAGCCCTTTTACTTCACCATTTCTTCCTTTTGCTTTAGTTACCCTATATTCAAGAACAAGTTTCAGAGTCTCTTCTGATATCCATTTTGGTCTTTTCTTTCTTTTCTGTCTCTTTAATACCCTCTTGGTTTCTTCATGTGTGATGTCCTTGATGTCATTCCACAACTCATCTGGTCTTCAGTCATTAGTGTTCAATGCATCAAATCTATTCTTGAGATGGTCTCTAAATGCAGGTGGGACACTCTCAAGGTCGTACTTTGGCTCTCGTGGACTTGTTCTAATTTTCTTCAGTTTCAACTTGAACTTGCTTATGAGCCATGGATGGTCCATTCCGCAGTTGGCCCCAGCCTTGTTCTGACTGATGATATTGACCTTAGTAATAATGACTGTTATAAATTAGAATAAGAGAATCCTAAATATACTAGAATAACAAGACAATAATGAATCTCCAGGATAAAAAAGAAGGGTAAATGAAAATCAGAGAAGAAGGGCCAGAGCACACTGTTTCCCGGACAGCACTATATTCTCACAAGAAAGACAGACATCAAAAGCCACAGTCTATACAATGGGGAATGAGGATCTAACAGGAGCCTGTCACAAAAACAATAAGAACATTATCATCATCAACAAGAAAATAAGTCAACCTGTAAGGGTAACCAACATAAAATTACTACCAGGTATGAACCAACGAGGAACCCTAGTGGTGCAGTGATTAAGTGTGCAGCTGCTAATTGAAAGG